ACTTTAATTTACTTTATTTAACTGAACAAAATATTTAACAATATAACTTTAATATACTTTATTTAACTGAACAAAAATATTTAATCACGACGCTATCCAACTGACGCTATTCAACGAACTTCCGTTACTCTCGTTCACTCGCTTTTGACATTCGCTGTCACACATATATTAGGTGACCACATGTTGTTAAAATTTTAGGGTGCCCAGTTGTGCGTTTCTGATGTAGGTTAACAGTCGGCCCTTCCTGACGTCAAGCGTCCTCGCGCTCGAATCAATTTCTTCTTCGTACGGAAATTGACACCATGGCTTTAGGAGATCAGACGCATAGATTGATTTATAATGTCGTTGTTTTCGATCGGATCCTGGTAGGTCTTCGATGACATAACGGTCATTATCGAGAACTTCGGTGACTACGGTCCTTTATATCGACATTCAAGTTTGCGGGACGTGCCTGTGGATGCTGGTTCTCGTTCTGCTAGAACTAAATCACCTTGCTCATATTTCGTTGGTTGCCTGTGTTTATCGTCGAAACGCTTTTTCGCGTATACCCGTTTACTATCGGTGTTATTAGCAGCAAATAATCGTCGGCGGTGGAGTTCTTCTTGGGTGATGGTCTTCATCTTGGAGAATTTGGATCAGCTTGTTACCTAATATGTCGCGTGGCTTGAATCCAAAAAGCAATTCGTTTGGAGATTTTCCCGTCGTTTGACTAATCAGTAAGTTCAATGTACATTGAATGCTTCGTAGGTGCTCGTCCCAGGTTCGGTCATCTTGTGTTGATGGTTGTAGCATGGATAAAACGGTGCGATTAAATCGTTCGACTTGGCCATTGGCTCGTGGCGTATGGACTGCGTTGCGTATGTGTTTGATTTGTTGATCGTTACAGTATCTTTCAAATTCTTTTGACGTAATGGCGGTACCACGATCACTTATTATATTTTCAGGGATTCCAACGTAACTGGTAACTTCATTCAGAATGGCGATGACTTGTTTAGTGTTCGTGCTTTTCACTGGTCTGACGATGACAAATTTTGTGAAACTGTCCACAATAACCAGAATACACTCGTTTAACTTTCGGATCCGGGGAAAAGGTCCCAGGTGGTCAATGTGTATTGTTTTGAACGGAATAGGCTCCATTTTGTAGCAATGTAACTCACCTTCCTTTTTACCTCCTCGACGCTTAGTGAAGGCGCAATCAATGCACGCATCATGTGTCACCTTCCATCGCAAAGCCTTTGGTATTACGAAGAGCTGTTGGTTTTTATACCGTTTGTACAGTCATCCGTTAATTATTTTATAGTCGTTAATAATGTCTGAATCCTTCTCCTCAATTTTCATTACGACTTGTTGAAGTTTGCTATCTTGTAATTGCATACTGTAAAGCCAATCCGCCTCAGTTATTTCCGCCTTCCAGACTCGCAAAGTCGCTTCCTCAAGATCGCAACCGTCTTCGTTAGGCATACGACTTAGTGCGTCGACGTGCGCCATTCGTTGCTCGCTTTGATGTTCGATGATGAGGTCATAGTCTTGGATACGAAGCCACCATCTGGCTATACCAGGTATCATTTCTCGCTTTTGCATGGCCAATTTTACAGCATTGCAATCGGTAATGAACGTAAACGACTTTTCATAGATGTAATATTTAAAGCGGCCCACAGATTCGACAACTGCAAGCGTGAGTCCGAGTCCGATGGCACTCGTGTCTGTATGCACTTGATGGTCAGCTTCCACTCGGTAGCCCGTTAATACTGGTCCGGTTGTTAGTGCTTCATTTAGACTCACGAAGGCGTTTGTTTGTTGATCTGTCCATTTAAAGACGGCGTTCTTCTTAAGTAATTGTCGCAACGGCTCGGATATAATTGCGTAGCCTGGTATAAACTTACGGAAGTATCCCGTTAACCCTAAATAGCGCAGCACCTCTGTTCGCGTTGTAGGCATGTTGAAATTTCGGATGGCTTCGGTCTTGATTTCACCCGGCGCTATCCCGTTGGGTCCCAACTAATGTCCCAAGAATTGGATAGTATCTTTCAGAAATTCGCATTTTTTTAAATTCAATGTTAAATTAAATTCTTTTATTACACCTAAAATTCGTTGAAACTTTCCGAGAAGTTCTTCTTCATCATTGCCGCCGACAAGCATATCGTCCATGTAGTGAATCATATCGCTGGGTTCCAAGCGCGTTTTAATTTTTGCCATCAATTGTTGAAACAGGACTGGTGCGTTCTTCAGCCCGAACGGCATCCGTTTAAACTCATACATACCATCAGGAACCACAACTGCAGTATATTTACGACTGTTACGTTCTATAGGAATTTGATAATAACCACAGTTAAGATCTAACGATATGTAGATTCGATACTTCGTTGCTTCTTGTAAACTTTCTTCGATATTGGGCATTGGGTAGCATTCTTTTCGAGTGAATTGATTAATCCGACGGTAGTCCACGCAAAGTCGATGTTCGCCATTCTTTTTCTTCACAAGCAACATTGGACTCGCATAACTTGATTCAGACGGAGCTATAATATCATTGTCGAGCAACTCTTGAATTTTCTTCGCAACGATTTCTTTTTTCGGTTCCGGAACTCTATACGGGACTTGTGCGATCACCTCGTTGGTCGTTAACTCAATTTTCATTTCGACTACATTAGTTTTGCCGATTCCATCCATACCTGTAGCGAAACATTCTCGGAATTCATTAATCACCTCTAACAGCTTTCCCTTAGAATCTGAATTTACAGTGTCCGTACACACGTCATCTTCCGTTATTGGACTAAGTTTATTAATTTTACACGTCGTTTTTACTTTGTCTTCGAATTTGAACTGTCCGTTGTCATATACGGCGCGTATATTTTCGCTATTGCATATTTCGTCCCCTATAGATCGTAATTCAACACACAATCTTTGAAGACGTGAAACGTCAACGGTTTTTCAACCTCATCGATTTTCAAATCCGTGTCGATTTGTATCTCAGATCGTTCTATACCACCACCGAATCCACCGATGGTAAATAGGTTTTTGCTGCGCGTACCACCAATATCGTTGGCAAATGTTTCCCGGACCATATTACATTCGCTTCCAGTATCAATAAATGCAATGGCTTGCTTGCTACCAATCGTTATTTTCTTAAGAAATTTATTGTCGATTATATTTGTTTTTCGCACGAAAACTGATGGTTTTCCGCAATTTTGCTGTTCATTTTTGAGGTGCACCTTATTACAATCTATACAACGAGGACGTTTTGGGGGTCTTGCATAATTTACTGACAAGTGCCCTGACTTACCACAATTGTAACACATAACATTCTTTGCCTTATTGAACGATTGTATTCTTTGTTCGCTTTCACCCGCATTATGAAAAGGCTTTTCGTTTATCTTAATGCAATTTTGTAAAAAGTGCTCGCATGCTTCACGCATTTCTTTAACGAATACGAATTTTTGCGGAGCAATCGCCATTTGTAGTTCTCGATGTTTTAATCCTTCTCGGACGTATTTCGTGACAGCTATCTCACTAAGATTATGACGTCGTCCTAGCGCACAGACACGAAAAATGAACTCAGTTATTGTTTCGTTTTGCCTTCGAACAACGCGCGACATATTGTAATGTATATCCGCTTCATCGTATTCGCAACCGAACTCGGTGACAAGCTCATTTGAGAACTCCTTCCAAGTAGCATGCATTCTTGGTGATGCGTCCACCCACATGCGCGCTACACCCTTCAAACGGCTATACACTGTAAGAAGCACACTTTTTTCGGGCCATGCATATACAGACATAACAGCTTCAACACGTTCGACAAATTGCGTAGCCGTAATAGAATCTTCATTCGTTGGGTCGAATTCGGGCAAGACTTCTGCGATTTCTCGTATAGCGTTACGGTCCCTACTAGGCATTTCTGAAGTACTGTGTTGATTGTTTCTAACGTTATTCTGGTTAATGGCTACTTGTTGAACCATTTGCCGCAGTTCGCTAATTTGTTTTCTCAATTCTTCGTTTTCACCCCGCAATTCCTCATTATCGTTTGTAAATTGCAAAACTACGCCGCTTGAGTTCACGTGTTCAGTTAATCGTGCAACTAATTCCGCCTTATTGCCTATAATTGATAACTCTTGCTGTTGTAAGAAGTTCTTCAACTGTTCCTTCGTCAGTGACTCGATGGTCACCATCATTACGTATATATCTGCGTTCGTTTTTTTTTATTTTTCTGCGCCAAATATTCAAACTTACGTTTTAATTACTCCCCTTTAGGGCATTGATTCAATCCCACTTCTGAACTTTAAATTTGGTTTTTGAGTTAAGTATATAACTTTAATAGACTTTATTTAAACAACTTTAATTTACTTTATTTAACTAAACAAAATATTTAATAACATAACTTTAATATACTTTATTTAACTGAACAAAATATTTAATCACGACGCTATCCAACTGACGCTCTTCAACGAACTTCCGTTACTCTCGTTCTCTCGCTTTTGACATTCGCTGTCACACATATGTTAGGTGACCACATGTTGTTAAAATTTTAAGGTGCCCAGTTGTGCATTTCGGATGTAG